CCATAGCAGATTCGCACATGATTGGGGGGTTTGATCTGTGATAAGAGTAGGGCTATTTTATTCATAGTAATAAAAGGTAGACAAAAGTATGGCTAGTGATGTACTGGGCTTATAATTTCTGTGTTAGGAAAGCTAGGATTTCCTAGAGAAATATTTCCATGTTCTTATCAGTGTTGGAGGAAGATTGCCATGTGTGCTGGGGAGTGGTCCCTCGGGCATACTGCCAGAGAGAGGAGGACAGATGAAACCCTTACTGAGAGGACACAGGGTCAGGGGATGGGGGACCAGGGACTGTGCCTTCTGCCCACCTGAGAGTGGATCGTCCGAGTTGAACATTTCCTCGGGACAATTCCACTTCTGAATGACAGGCACGAAGAGGTGCAGATGGGATTTAACCAAGGATGGGAACTGCCAGGCGATTGCAGGTGGAGAGAGAGATGTGGGAAACGTAATAATATATTTCCTAGGATTAAGTCCTACTTGGAGTAACAAAGACCAAAATTAGCGTGGTTTAAAAAGATTGAAGGGTTTGTGGTTGATTTCATTTCTCTTGAGATACCCAGACTCTGCCATTGTTGGGATATAGTCTTTACCTGCCTGATCCAAAGAGGCAGAGAACACCAGTCATGACATCCATGCGCTGGGAAATACGACATGGGCAGCCACAGGAAGAAAGTGGAAAGGGTGACATAGTAAGGAGCACAGCTGGCAGCTGCCGTGTGACAAGTCCCTCCGTCTTCAGCTTCAGAACAGAGGCTCAGTTCTGAGCAAACAATGGTCGGCATTAGACCCTGGGGGTTTACGTCTGCACCATCAGGAGAAAAGACAGGAGATCACGAAGGACCACCGTCCATCTCTTTAGAAAGATAACCATCGATGGGGACTTGGCATCCAGCCAATCCATAGCTCCAAGTTGATATGAAGTATTCTAGGAAACACAGACAGGCCCGGGACCTGCACAACTGCCATGCTGGAAAGAGCATTTTGAGTGACAGAAGTACTAGAGGTAAAGAGGCCCATGAACCCCGATGGAACTTGCTGTGAGCCCCAGTGAAAGTGAGTGTGGAAGAAACCTTTGCTCAAAGCTGCTACTGGCTTTTACAATGGAAAGGAAATGGGATTTATCTTTGTTGACATCTGGTTAAAATCTGTGAAGAAACTTTAATCATGCATTCAGCCATTTAGTTAGTAGACATTTATTGAGTCTTAAATACTCTGTGAATCCCTAGAAATCAGTTAATAGGAGATTCTTTACTTTTACTTCTTAGTAGACATTCTGAGTTAAGCAAATCATTTCAGCCTTGTTCTCCAGGCATTAGTCAAAACTGCTATTTACAGGAGTTGCCATAATAACATTTTTTAAAGTTACACATTCAGTCAGTCTCTGTATAGCCAAGTGGAAACCCTAAATAAATGCGCTTAACTCACACATATGGATGACCGCTTTTATTAACTGAGTCACCCAGACGCCATGTGTCTTGGTGGCACTGTGTAGACTGGCAGTTTATGTAAATATTTGACTCTGGGTCATGAAGTGGAACAGACAGCGATAAGGCTTTCACTTGACAGTTGATTTGTGTGGTGTTTTGCCCATTGCACAATTTTAAAGTGGGTACATAATTCAGGTGAAAGTTTCTGAACAGCTCCTGACTGCGAAAGAGCCTCTCATCACCCACAGATGCCTGCAACCCTGAGCTTCTCTGCTTAGTGCCGAACTGTACGGGAACTTTGGGAGAGTTTTCCTGGTGTTTATTTATGAAATTTATGCTAAACCTCTACAACCATTATAGTTCGCAACTCTAGGGAAGAGAATGTATATTAGGAAAAAAATCCACAAAGAATAGAAATACAACCAATTTTGATTGGCCTGCTCGATTTCCACAGTAACTGCAAGTCATTTGACCAAATTTTGTTTTGTTTTGCTGAGTTTGTTCTGCTTCAAGGACACCGATTTCAGTACTGTGATGGCTTTTCTTTGAAAGGCATGTCACATCGGGAAATCAATTCAGTGGGTCACAAAGCATACTTTTAAAATAGGAATGAGTAGCATACCACAGATATAATCCATCACATGTTGGATTATAGTATAACTAAATAGATTGGAATAAAATAGAAATTATCAGGGAATACATCTTGCAATGTGGGTAAGAGAATTACCCATAAATTATGTGGGCATTCTACATTTTAAGGCATTAGCAGCCAGAATAGAGGCTGGAAGTGTAATTATATATAAAATATTTTTATTTTTTGTATCTAAGAAACATTGCAGTCTGATTTGTTTCTTTCCAATCTTTGTGCATCTTATTTCTGATCTTTTTATTCTTTTTGTGTAATATTTTGGAGATTTGCCCTCTCTCCCTCCTTTCCCCTTTCTTCCATCCTGTTATTGTGAGTCAAAGTCAAAGAAAGTCTTAAATGCTACATTTTAGACTAGACTTCAGATATTAGATACAAACATTGAGAGAATGATTATTACATTTTTATCTCAATTTTAAGGAAGGTCTGTAATCTTTTGGAAGTAGCAAAGTATAGCATCAAAAAAATCTTTCATGTAATTAGAAAGAAGAAAATTATAAACTTCAAAGCTTCTTATTTTTCATTTGAGAGATCTACCAGCTTCATGGGAAACTAAATGCTTATTTTTAAAAAGTAAAGCTATATTCTCTTCTCCCAAATAAAATAAAATAAAATGGTTTCTCACGTGTTGAATAGTAAGTTTTTGAACCAAACTTACTGACCTAAAAAATGAACTAGGTTAAGGACTGAGTTGGGACTCTAACGAAAGACCTCCTTATCAATACACCCATAAAATAAATACTAATTAAACAGCCATGCACTACAGAAGGAAACAGAAACATATTTAGAAGAAAAGCCAGCAAAGTCCCTGTGCTCGCAGAGTTTAGAGGCTGGAAGGTGAACAGATCTTCATCACAAAGTTACAAAAGTGGCCGTCCTGGTGCCAGACATGGGTGGGATATCGACGCTCGTGTCAGCATACAAGGTGCGTGGAAATCCCCTGTATTGACAATTTTGCTATAAGCCCAAAACTGCTCTTTTAAAAGTTTATCGAACAATACAGAAAACTTGTAACAGTGACAAAACACAGAACTCCCCCCGTCTTGAAAGTGTTAACATGGAGAAGGACCCCTTGCTCTGAAAGGTGGTATTTTGGTGATCCGACATTTTAGTTATTTTTTTGGTTTGTTGAGACAGAGTCTCACTATGTAGTTCAGACTGCTCTGGAACTCACTGTGTAGCCCAGGCTGGTCTTGAACTCACAGTGATCCTCCTGCCTCAGCATCCTGAGTGCTGGGAATACAGGCATGTGCCACCACACCTGGCTATCCAACTGTTTTTGTTATGTGGAAGCTAAGCTCTAAATGAAAAGCTGGTACTGATTGGGCAAATGACTTGGAGCTCTGATGGGGGTATCTGCACATCCAGAGTCCAGCAGGAGGGAAAAGAAGGATTTCATATATTTGAGGGTGACCCAGACCCCAGGGTAGGTGTGACTGGCTGCAGTGCTGTAGAGTGTGTGTGTGTGTGTGTGTGTGTGTGTGTGTGTGTGTGAGTTGTCAATGCTAACAGAGGTGAATGATTAAGATTTTTAAGGAAGTAAATCCTAAGTGACTTCTTTAAACAATCCCCGTCATCCTGGTCTATCTGCTGAAGGCTATTTACATTGAATTGTCAGAATCAGTGGATTTTGACCTCTGACACCCACAGTGACTTCACCACCCGACTCACTTTCAGGCACTGAGGCCTGTGCAGTAGTTCCCCGCTGCATCCTCATGGCTGTTCGCTGGTCTGACATCCACTTGGTGGACGGGCATTGCTTAAAGAACAAGCTACTGATGTCTGCAATGTCATGAATTTCAAAAGTAGCGTGCTGCACAAGAGAGACCAGACACCCGCCTGTGAATACCTTTGGTGTCGCCATCCCAAAGCCCGGGCTTGCTTTTTGAGTTCTTTGGGCTTCAGTGGAGGATATAGATTGAACCACGGTAGAAGGACTTGGTCATGAGCTGGAGGAGACATCTTCATTATCAGAAGGAGGAGACGGGGTGGGAGGTCAGTGTTTGCCACTTGTGTCTGATCTGGCGGCTGTGACCCAAGGTGCATCTTTGCCCTGCCTCCTAGCATCTCTGTGACTTACACGAAGGTGCTCAACCTCTCTGTGTCTCAGTGCCCTCGCCTGTAAGTGTGGATGGTGATAGTGGTACCTACTCTTCCTTTGTGAAAGGATGAATTAAGACGAACATGTAAAATGCCCTGGCAGAGGCATGTGCTGGGTGATATTTTTATTACTAGCACGGAGATTGACCTATGGTATCTTCAGCAATGTGTGTTTACAAAACACATGTGCTGTGAGATAGCTGTGGACTTATCAAATATGAATATAATTCAGGAAATTAGCATGTAGGAAATTTTACCATAAAGACTTTGTGAGGTTACCAATTTAATAAGAAAAACACATCAAACAGTTATCTCAACTGCTGAAAGACCCTTTTTTTTAATAGTGCAGGAATAGTTCCACAAATTTATCCTGTGCTTCGAATCACTGTAGGATAACTTGGTTTATAATGTTTTCTTCATCTAATGACGCTAACTTTTGAAACTGCTGTTGCTGCTGCCTAGAGTATAAAATTAAACACCTTTTTGCCAAAAAAAAGAGCCTCCAGCTGCTCTTTTTCTTAGATAACATAGAGTGATTTTTGAAAGATTTCAGACACACAAAGTTTTGTCTCTTTTTCATGCTTTATGAGGAAGTCTGCAGAAAGAATGAACCAAACACGGAACAGAAGAACTTTTTTTTTTAACATTGTAAGCAAATTGTACACGAATGAACTCAGGCAGGCTGGAAGGCTGGTGGGGTGTCTTTCTGATTAGGGGATGGAGTTGTATTTTTGGGTTCCTCTTTTTCTATATCCCTTTTTTATTTCTTAAAAAGGAAAAAGGGTTAGCTGCCTGCCAGTGCACAGCATTCTGGTTTTAAGAGAGAAATCTGAAATTCAGGGCAGGAGTAAAGCGGTTCTTTCATTCCTGCAGCAGCTCTCTCAGTGCGATGCGTTCACCATGAACCCTGTGCCTCCAGACATTCAGGGCCCAGGGCTGGGGCCTGGGTGGCTCTTGGCCTGGCGGCCTTGGCAGGATCTCATTAGTGGTGCTGTCTTCTGAACTTTCTCTTCAGCGTGGCGCCTCTGGAACCTTTCTGCCCTTGCTCTTTGACTCTCACAAGAGTGTCCTGTGAAGTTTTAACAAACCTCAGAGGGGCATGTGATCAGGCCTGGAACAAGATCAAGGATTCCAGGTACAGAAGCAAGAAAAGGTAAGTGAGGCAGATAGAAAGAGGTAAAAGATTTATGTTCCTCATTTCACAGACTTTGCAAGTAACTTTGTATGTGTGTCTGGGAGATGAGCCTTTATCAGGGCAGGAGCAAAATCATAGCTTTCTGTCAAATCTAGGTGAGTGGCATGTGCCACACCCCCAGGAGGGAGGAAATAGGCAATGATTCCAATGGCTTTGAACAAAAGATACTTCAAAGATACGGTTTTGAGTCGGTGTCCCTTTGGTGCCCAAGATAACCCTAGAGTTCCGCTAACTCCTTTGTTTTGAGTTTATTTGAGCATCTGAACATTTCAAGCTCTGTGCTGTCCTCTCGCACAGCGGCATTGCGTGTATCATTCCTTCCGCAGTGAACGCCTTAGCGAGACAGAGCCACGGGTGAAGGGAGCCGTTGTTTGGGTCTGCAGAGGCCCAGAGTCCCCATGGCAAAGGTCTGTCCCCCAGCGTGAAGCTGTGGGAAGGGGTGGGCATGCGTGGGAGGTCTTGGGTCACGGGTGCTGTGCTTCGAGGGGGTTGTGGGACCTCATTCTTTCCCGGTCTCTGCCTCTCCTGTCCAGGCCACTGGGCCAGTAGCTTTGTCGGGTGCTGCTGCCTGGGGCTGTCGTTTTCCCTCAGACCGGCAAGCAAAGAGACCACAAGGCGTGAACTGAAACTCCAGAACTGTGAGCTAACACAAGCCTGTCCTCCACGGGAGCTGACTGTGTCCCGTGATTTGTTACAGTTGTAAAAAGTTGAGTAACTTAATGGGATTTATAACAAAATACTATGACTGTTAATAGAGAGTTTTATAAAGTCACATGGCCACAAAGAAAGGACTTCCATATCTGTTTTTCATGTAAGAGGAATTCTAAGCCCAAAGATTACCTTTATTATCAGCTTAAGCTAATGACAGTAAGTGAATAAATTTAGTAACACCTCAAATATTTTTTGTTCTTAAACGTTACATTCTTACCTGTTAGAGTGTATGGTTTTGAATCCTGGATTAAACATCTAATACTGGTTTTACAAACTTAGTCCTGTTAGTTAAACTCTATTCCTTAGTTTACTTTTTTTTTTTTTGCAAAATATAGATAATAATACTCAATGCATAGATTGTTCTGGTAATTTATTTAATGCATGAAAAGTGCTCAGATTAGTGCCTAGTCTACAGCAAAAACTTTATAAACTTTGTTAATCATTGTGGTGGCTGTTCTTTTTATTGTTGTCAATATTAATGGATCACCTTATCATTGTTTTCCTACTATATAGATCCTTAAATTGAGCTGTATGTACACAGGACTCTGAGAATAACGGTGCTAGACTGACTGTGTTATTCCAGTGGCACAGTTGTAAAGGCTGAAAAATTCAATTCCCCACTGACTGCACCGCAAGAGCTGAATCTGATGGGTTGGATGCAATAACAGCTTTGGCGAGGAAAATCCTAGAACTCCTCTCACATGGCATTCAGGAAAATCCTAGAACTCCTCTCACGTGGCATTCAGGAAAATCCTAGAACTCCTCTCACGTGGCATTCCAAAACATTTGCCCAGCAAAGATGACTTCTGGTAACTCTTCAGCAAACAAACTCAGCACACACAAATAATATCAGGTAATTGGATCAGAATATTGGTCTTGGAATCTACATTAATAATTTCAGGCTGAACGCAGGTCAATTCTAATTAGCTAACACACCGATGCTATTATTGCAGTACCCTGTCTTGCCCTAGGTTTCAAAGAACAGGCATCACATGGTAGATAAGTACTAAACAAACACAATCTGTCTATTCTGTTTAATGATTAGACTAGAAATTAAAACTGATTCTGCTTATGTTAAAAACCTGTGTCACCATGTTCTCATGCTGCATGTTAACATAGAAATGATATTTTCTTTAGTTTGTTGTAAATTTGTAATAGTGTGGTTGTTATTGGAGAAATGTTAAGACACTAGCATAAATGAGAGGATTTTATTACGCATATGATAATTGGAAAAATGTGGAACCATAAAATATTTCAAAAAAGGAGAAAAATAGGAGGAAATAATATTTTCCTCATCACAGTACTCTGGTCGTCCACTGTTACGGTATAACAAAACTGCCCCAAATGTAGTGGCTTAAAATAACACAACAGAAATATATAAAATTCAAAAATTATCCATGAGTAGGTTTATATGTTTGAGTTTATGGCTCACAAATCTATAACTGGGCCACCGTTCAGTGGGGAGGGTTGGTTTGCTTCATGTGGTGTCCAAAGAGATAGCTTCACGGGGCAGGAGGGCCACTCCGAGACGGCTTGTGCCCCCCCGGCAGCAGCTGGTGCTGGCTTCGGACTGTGCTGGTGGTTGCAGCCTCGGTTCCGCTCCCTGTTGGCCCTTGGATGGACCACTTGCTCTTCCTCCTAGCATGGCGGCTGGGTTCCCAAAGCAAGCTTCCCTGGAGGGAGGAGATGACTAGAGCCCTGTGACATAGAGAGGGGACACTCTTCGCGTGTAACCGGAAGCACTATCAAGGCACTTGGGCTGTGTCCCACAGTCACCCAGCCCCCTCAGCCGCATCTGTTTACATCGCTCACACATCCAGAGAATATTCACCACTGTGAAGACTTCTAAGTGTCTCCTCACATGACTTCATTAGACTGAGTCTCAAGGCCGGAGGCTTATCACTGAAACCAGTTTCAGGGGTAAGAGGAGCTTCCTCAGATATGGGCCCTAAGGTCCGCTTCTCAGTACAGCGCTTCTCCGTCTGCAGATTGACGAATTGAGACACGTCATCTGCCCAGTGCACTCCTTAAACGGCGGTGGGATAGCAGCAGCGCCTTCTACAAACCACCCTGCTGAGAGAGACACGCCCTCGCTGTGCTGCAGTGGTGCTGAGACCCAGTTCCGTGACTGGAGCCTGCTTATCATGTGTCCCCTCATTCTGCCATCTGGGCTTTTCTCATCGTTCTCTGGATCATCCTTTCGTTTTCCTCAAAGCTTGTAACTATGAGGTCTTTTCCACCCCATCGAGCCCATAAGACGTCAAGGGCCAAATAGCTTCATTGCGGAATCATTGATGCCTCTCTTGGGTCTCAGGTGGTGCTGCTTCCACCAAAGTTTTTTGCTTAACAGCCTTTGTGGTTCTCCATGAGTCTTTTTGGATCTGCACCACTAGATAGAAGCCAGACTTCACACGTCTGCAATAAGCACACGTTAACTGCTGGGCTGGTGCCGGCCTTCAGGGTCTTCAGCTCCACGCACTTTAACAGGGAGGCCTGGAAGCCTACTGCAGGTGTTGCCTGAAGGCCTTCAGCTGTTTTGGGGGCTGTGACCTGCTTAGGTCTTTCTCAGGTCTTAAGAAAGGATCTATTTATCTCACCCTGGGGTTGACCTTTGATGTGAGGCCTGATCTTATGTTGAGGATCATTTCGTCATCTGGAGAGACTGGGAATCAGAAACCCTCATATTTACAAACCCAGAAAATTCTAGGTCTTTTATATTTAAGAGTTCATTCTTCAACGTTGTTGCTTAATTTTGTATACTATCACAGACAATGAACAGAAAACCAAAAGATCATTCAGTATTTTAACTAAGGTTTTCCTTAGAGCTTTGAGCTCCTCAGGTGTATTCTATGTACACAGAATGAATCCTGCCCCACCTCGAAGTTCCTATCCTAAAATACTAGCTCCCAAAGTATTTGAAGATAGAGCCTTTAAGAAGGTGATTAAGCTTTTCAAAATGACAATAAAGTGGGGCCCAGTACAGTAGGACTTGTAAGAAAAATGAGTCAGTGAGAATCTTTGTCTTTTCCTTGCACACAGAGAGAGAAGGTCGCCTGGGGATGACTCACCAGAGCCCACTGTGCAGGTGCCTTGGTTCTGGACATCCAGCACCCAGCAATGGGGAGTGTGTGCTTACTGCACAAGCAGTGCGTATGTCCCAGTTTTCCATTGTCTGTGCACCAGGAGTCATCGCAGACTCCTCACCAACAGATCCTTCCTCTGTCTGCTCTCAAGCTTCTGGGACACATTTTCCACTTTTCTTTAAGCTGTCACAGACAGTTGTCTCAAACATGTAGAATTCTATTAACGTGGTCCAGTAGGCCCTTCCTATTTTTGTTGTTTCTCACACTGATGCTTGTCAGGGTTTCATCAAAACTCCTCTGGAGATCTGTGGCAGTTGAGCGGGATCATAAGCTTCACCGAGTTCAGGGCAGTCCTGAGTGTTCGTGGTAGGCCACGGACATGTGATCTTGGGTGCATAGTCTGGTGCCAGCCCTTCCTCCCTGGTGCTGCTCCCCTGCTCTGGTTCTTAGGTGCCATCAACCGAACAGCCTCAGCTTGGCTCTCCCGTGCTTTTCTGCTGGGATGTGTTTCAGCCTTTGAGCCAGCAGATCATGCACTGAACTTTCTGAACCTGTGAGCCAAACTCCTCCTTTGAGTTGTGTGTTTGTTGGGTAGTTTTGGCCCAGTAACAGGAAAGGTAATTGCTACAAGGCCCTTGTAGCACCTGTGTGATGCACCTCAAAGATAATGCCCTATTTTAAATCTTTGTTATGGCACACCCTGCTTCCAGGTACCGCATTATGTTCTGTGTAACAAATCACCTCCCGACACCAGGATGTAAAGCACAACGATAACTGTGCCGTGTTCTGGATTGTGAGTCTAGGCGGGGCCTTGTGGACCAGGCTCCTTGGCATTGCAGCTGTCAGCAGGGCGCTGGCTGTGAGCTCCGAGGTAGCTCAGGGTGGGGAGTGTGGGCTCCTTTCCTGCTGGGTCTTTGCCTGGGTCACGTGAACTTCCTTCCAAGAGAGGAGAAGATGACAGCTTGTAAGCATCTGGCCCCAGAACTGGCACTGTCCCTTCTGTCACATTGAACCGGCCAAGCTGTATTCATTAGACTCGGTTTCACAAAGAGAAGGTGCAGATTCCAGCTCCCCATACAAGAGTAGGGATTTGGGAAATATGCTTTAAAACCATCATCACTTAAAAACTGCAAAAATTTAAAACACCCAACCTCACTAAGTTTGACAGCACAATATGGACAAGAATTGGGAAATTGCTAGAGTTTTTAATGAAAGTCATTTTAAATCATTTCTTTCGAAGGAAAGCATATATAACAAAAACTTGAAAACTAAATTGTGTAACCTATACATTAACCCCCACTTTCTGTGACAGCTGTTCAATTCATAGGAGGCATATAGATTTCAAAGACTTAATTCAAGTTAAGGGCCAACTCTGTGAACTTCTTTCATCATCTTAAAAATCAAAACCGAGTAAATTCTACAACATGACCTTAGACATTTTGAACGTAACTAAGCCATATTAATCCCCCAGTTTCATGTGTTACAACTTAACTATTGTGTTTGAGCTGCCAGTTTTTAAACCAACAATTTATAAATTCCAACAATGCAGAGATAAATCTAGCTTTTTACTATGTACTCTCATAAAAATAAATGTGTAGTCACATTCATACACCCAAGGACATGGCTTTTAGGAGGTTCTAACATAAAGAGATTGCATTTAGTTTTAATTTACATGTAATTTGCTGTTCCATTTGAAGCCGTTTATTCTCAAGCCTCTTTTCTCCACAGTCTTTATCCTTTTGATGCATGGCTCCATAAAGATGTCAGTAGAATTCTTCACCTTCCTACCAGAGGTCTTTAAGTAATTTCAGAGCATATTTTACTTCTGATTTTATGAATGTAGAACTGGAGACAAAGATGCCTTCAGTCAGTTGCTCAGGGACACAGGAAACCGGCAGCGGCTCCCTGTGGGGGTGAGAGAGCCTCTCTCCGGCTAGAGAAGCGTTTCTAACCACTGAGCAGAGCCGCCTAATTTACATGTTACTTGTAGAAAGCAATAGATAAGTCACCTGACTTGGCATAGAATAAATAATAACACTATAATATATGAAATTTCTTTTCTTTGTAATTTAGTGCCAGATTTTTCCCTCCAAATTAAAGATAAGCCACACAATTAATTCCAATTTCTAGATTTTCATTGTTCAAACTAAGGTATCCATGCCTAACCTTGAAATTATTAGCCCACAACAAAGGTGTAATGATTTCTTCTTTATGAGATCCATTCTATATCATTAGCTGGAACTGAGTGTAGCTTCTACACTGCTATTTATAATTTAGTTTTATACAATTATATATTAGAAAATAATAAAAACACATGTTTCTCAGTCTGGAACTCAGTTACAGAGGTGGGTACTATGTTGTGTCTTGATGCCCTATGGAAATAGGGACCAACATGCTCTCTTCTAGACAGTTTTTAACCTGCTAATCATGGCTGTGAAAACAAATAGCTTTGCTGCCTTTGGAGCAGGAGCAAGCGGCCTGTGTATTACAGTCATGGCTATGAGACTGCACGTCACTAGGAAATTCAGATACCACTGGGCTCCTTTGTAAAAATTAACAGTATGGTCAGCAATTGGTTAACTATGAAGTTGTGAATTGCTAAAATAAATCTTACTTTAATGTCGCAATTGAATTTTTTGGCATATCTTTATCCTTTTAGGTGTTTTAGTTATATTCCTAAGATTTTTTTTGAGAATTTCAATGTTATTTAAATGTCATTTTTCCCCCAAATTTCTTTCCTCTATTTATTTGTCTAAACCCTTTCAAGTATAATTTTCTTAAACTTGTCATTCTACAAAAAAATAACATTTTCTTTCGTTAACATCACAAACCAGCAATGTTGAAATAAGGTACTATAGATAGGCACTTTTCATGAAATGCACTTTACAGGAACTATCAAGTACTGCCCAGAGGCCGTGAGCTACACAACTGAGAGCTAACATGCCCGGTGCGCGAAGCACTGATGTGTAAGGACCTACAGGAGACTCGGTGTGACTCTGACTGCTTTGGAGAGCCATGTGCCCGCCCCTCATAGTGCCCAGTACCGAGGCAGAAGGCAGATGTCAGGGTCTGGACCTAGCGTCCATGGTGGTCTGTTTATTCCCATGGAATCTCGGTTAATGAACAGGCTGTGTCCTGAGTGCAGGATGCAGCCTTGTCTCATGCACGCTGCAAGTCCGTGCCTGGGAGTGATTGTTGTCAGTAGTGTGTCACAAGTGAGGAGGCGGAGACCAGAGGGTTGTTAAACTACAGAAGGAGGCTTCAACTCAGAGGCAGTGCATCTCGGAGCCTGCATCCTCGGTCCCGGTGTCCTGTCCCCCTTGCCTTCTGCTGCCTGTGTCTTTCTGAGGAGCGAGGTTTGAAGGATGCTCTCCAGGGGCTGCTGGCACAGAATCGGGAGGGGAGGGCCACGAAGCACAGAACAGAAACCCCCACCCCTTCCACAGCCTCCAGCCTTCTCTGATGGGCAGTTCAGAAGCTGGACAGCCTCCCTGATGGGCACACAAACCCCTGATTCCCTAACGGCTATTTTTTCCCTTGTTACAGGCAAGTAGAGGGAATCATAAAATTTGCTTCCCACAAAAATAATCAAATCATTGGATAGATATATATTAACTACATTTTATTTATAGGCACTTGCTTCTTGTTGTATTTTGTAAAACTTAGAAGAACTAGAAATTTTTTCATTTCCTGTCTTTGAAGTTCAGAAATCAGACGCAGTGCTCAGAGGAGCCCCTCACATGTCCAGCTGGTCAATGTCCTGGTCCACAGTGCCCTATCACTGGATTAAACCGGCTCCAAACCAGGAGCTTCTGTTTTGGAAACAAGAATTTGGCAGCATTTAGTAAACTCTTGGCATTTCACTCCTGCCATGCAGTGGTAGGTGTTTCAAGGAATGGGAGTAAGGCTTTTTGGGCTCCGCTGTGTGCCATGGGAGTGGAGAACGGAGAATCTCTATGCTTCTGCCCCCTTTTGGGTGACTTTCCAGTGGATGAGATGGAGCAGTGGGATAAAAAGGACGGCCCTTCTGGTCACCTCGTGTGGCGTAGCTGGGGCTCAGCCTCCGACGGCAGGCAGCCAAGTCCCACGTGCTCTGCCTGCCCAGGGCAGGGTGCTTCTGCCCTACTTCCCCAGGGAGGGTCCAGAGAAGGGGCCTGCGCAATCCAGCATGCCTTGACACTATTTTAATCTCTCATGCACTTCTCTGGTGAGGCAATGCAATATTCTGACCACTTGCTTACCCATTACCTTTTAGATGTCAGCTGAATAGTAGCACAGGCATTCATTAGGCCTCGATAAACGTATTCTGCTTTAATGTTTGTTTACCAGTCGCCACTCAAGGCTTTCACTGAAATGCCTGCCACAAATCTCAGTAGGTTTTTAAGCCTTTTCTTAGATAGTTAAATGGAAACCTGCATCCTTGACCTGCAGTAACAACTGATGCATGGAAAATGAGTAATGTTTCTCTGTCTTCTGAGAAGTGGGCTTGTCACCAGATCATTGGTAAGATCAGTGATTTTCATCTTTAGTACCAGGATTTCCCTAGCAGACTGTACCTGGTTGGGCTGGGAGGGGGCAGGAGGCTTTTAGCTAGAAATTATTTTGAAGAGGTGGACATATTCAAAGCATATAGCACACAATATTAGTTATACTTTTCCTTCCTAAGTCATTTCCATT